GTGTTAGTGGAATATTAGAAAAATAGACACATGCTAGCGCTGGGCACATATCCAACCTAATTAAAAATAAAGATAAGAGTGAGACAATAAGGGGAAAGGAAAGCAAATGACCGGCTTGTAATAGCCCAACAGTACAGGGTTATTGGTCTAATACCAGCAAAACATTCTGCAGGAATAGAGGACATCAATAGATTTGTGAGTGAGCAGGTACAGTAGCTGAGACAAGTGGGAGGGGAATGTCTCTACTTTACTGCAGGGGGGATCATAGAGAAGATGGTTGTTTTGATTGGATGAAATAACTAGGGGAGAAGTGAGAGCTCTTAGGTGACTGGCTAATAAAGAAGGCTGGAAGGGGTATAAAACAGAAGCCTTTTGAGCAGCAAAGTATCAGATTTTGCTCTCAGCAACTTGATCCATTTCCAAGTAACTGATAACCTGAACTCCCACATGCGGTAAAATATTTATTTCTTATATGCCAACATCCTAAATAACCTGGCTGGCACCTATTGTATTGACTGAATCAGAAACATCAAAACTCATTTCAGCCCATTATCTTTTGCCACATTGCATTCCTTTCCACTTGCACCTTTCTCCTGGACAGATCAATACATAGATACAAGCCTTCAAATATACCAATGACAGTTTATATTTTTTCTCCAAATCTAGAGACGAATCAGTAAATGTGACAGACAGCCCATCTCAGCCAACCAGCCTGCAGATCCTAGCCTGCCATGATCAGGACCAATCAACACTCAGGGTAGCGGAAGTTCTTATTTTCAAACTTCTGTCAAAGTGCTATAAACATTTCTGTGTGATTGCATTGCGGTATGTCAATTCTTTGGAGTGCTTTTTCAACTGACATCCTCTCTGGCCATTGAGAATAAAGCCTCTGATTTTTAGCTTCAGCCTGCATGTGTCTTATCTTGGGCCTTTGGGAGCTTGGCTCTCCAGGCCCTGGATCCACAGTTTTAGCAGAGCTGAAATTACAGAACAGATATGCCCTAAGAGGTAAGAATAACAAGACTGCAAATGCTGAGCCATGCTTTGGGTTTACCTGACTTCCATTGCTTTAAGGGTTGTGGCTTTTAAAAAATAGCTGGATTTACTTGCAAATACACAAACAGAGCACACAAACCTATGCTTTCGTCTTTGCAAAATATGCTTCTTTTAAGAAAATAATTTACTGATTGCTTCACTGCTGCTACAGTGTTATTGCATGATAATGCTTCTCTGTGAGTTGTTTTAATTTACTGCACTGTAAACTGTTCGCAAACCCTTGATATCACATTGTTCATAAACTTGGACAAGTAGATAAGTAGAAAAGGGAGAGGGAGAGAGATTCCTGATCACATTTTGGAAGTCATAGAGCTGGAGAGATGTAGCTTTGAGGCATAAAGATCCTCCCAGATCACAATCTCAGATCAATTCTGGCAGAAACTAAACCCTGGGCTCCTCCAAAAATACAGCAACTGATGACACAACCTGCAGGAAATGTGTCAGCAGCCCACTGCCCTCTGTGGTATTACACACCGTACTTCTTGTTTTTTGTCTCTTTAAAAAATCCAAATAATGTTTTGGTCACCCCAGATTGTTTTCTTATATTGCCTGGCACCAGGAAAAATATTTTATTCTTACTTCCAAGGTCGGAACAGCAAATTGCGGCTAGTGTGCTTCTCCCTTTTATTTTATTTATTTACTGAATTTATATCCTGTCCTTCTCACCCTGAAGGGGATTCAGGGCGGCTCACAAAACATGCATAATCCGATGTATGTACATACATAAGATATATATATATATATATATATATATATATATATATATATATATATATGAAACATATACATTAAAACCAATAATTAAAACACATCAATCTTAAAACACTTAATTAAAATCACACAATCCAAAAGCATATTCCAGGAGCTATTCTGATCCATAAACACTTATTGTTCCATAAACACATTGTACTGAAAATTATTGTCCAAAGGCTTGGTCCCATAGCCATGTCTTCACTTTCCTTTTGAAGGCCAGAAGGGAGGGGGTTGATCTAATTTCACAGGGGGGTTCCATAGCTGAAGGGCCACCATTGAGAAGGCCCTATCTCTCGTCCCCACCAGTTGCGCCTGCAAAGGGGGTGGGATCAAGAGCTGGGCCTCCCCAGATGATCTTAACCTCCGAGATGGTTAATTGAGAGAGATACATTTGGACAGGTAAGCTGGGCCAGAATGTTTAGAGCTTTTTAGGCTAAAGCCAGCGCTTTGAATTGTACGCGGTAACAGACTGGCTGCCAGTGAGGCTGACACAACAGGGGGGTTGTATGCTCCCTATACCCCACTCCAGTAAGGAATCTGGCTGCCGCCCATTGGACTACTTGAAGCTTTCAAACAGTCTTCAAAGGCAACCCCATGTAGAGCACATTGCAGTAGTCAATTTGGAATGTAACAAGAGCATGGGCCACTGTGGACCAGGCTCTTTTATAAACAAGAGTTGTAATGCACCAGGGCTTTAGTGAATGTGGCACTTTTTGCATCATACCACTTAAATGCTAAGCACTTTCTGTTTTAAAAAATCATTGAAGATAAAATTTCCTATCTAGTCATAGAATCACCTTTACAAAACATGCCCCTCCCTTTTTAAAAAGAAACTTTTGGAAGTGTTTTTGTGCAAATCCAAGAAATCGTTACAAATGGCACACAACATAAAAATAATGGGATATAGATATAGAGGTGATAACTACTAGCAACACCCCAGGAGCTGTATGAGAATTTATGTTTCCTTGGGTGGGTCTGGAAGAGCCATCTGCTTATTTATATTGCTCGTATTCTTGCCCTGAATTTGCACATTCCTCGGGTGGGAGGGAGAACGTAATTCCCCTTCCAGGTCCCCCCAAAGCATTTCCTTGTGTCTACAAAGCCAACCATTCCAGGGACATCCGTGCTGGCTCTCTATCAGGATCTGATAGACTGAAGTTGCTGAACTAGTTTGGGTTTCCTTGGCAGTCTCTCCATTCTCTGTCTTTTCCAACAACTGCAAAGGCTTTGTTTCAGAGCTCTCTCTGGTGCATGTCCTATATCGGCCCTGCTTTCAAGAGAAGGAAATTTCTTTTGCTGCTGCCTACAGATGTGGAATTCAGGGTAAAGTAATGGATGTTACTAGTAAATTTGATATCTTTGACTAATCTTCCTCTTTGAGTCACCTACAAAGAGGAGTATAAGGGTGTGTCTACAATGTAGAATTAATGCAGTTTGACTCCACTTTAATTGACATGCTCAGTGCTATGGAATCCTGGGATTTGTAGTTTGCCTTGTAAAATTACCTCCCATGACTCCAAAACATTGAGCAATAGCAGTGAAAGTGATGCCAAACTGTGTGAATTCTACAGTGTAGATGCACTCTAAGACAGGAGCAGAGGGACCCAAAAATGGACACTGTATGAAACAAATGCTCCAAATAGTAGAATCTCTTGTCATTGCATACTATTGGCACTCTCAACTGTTTGGTGGTTTTCTTATTTTAAAATATCAAATGACACTTACTGTTTTATTTGTTTTCTGTGTCAGGAGTGACTTGAGAAACTGTAAGTCGCTTCTGGTGTGAGAGAGTTGGCCATCTGCAGGGATGTTGCCCAGGGGAAGCTTGGATGTTTTACCATCCTGTTGGAGGCTTCTCTCATGTCCCTGCATGGGAAGCTGTAGCTGACAGATGGGAGCTCACTCCACTGCCTGGATTAGAACTGTTAACCTTTTGGTCAGCAGTTCTGCCTGCACAAGGGTTTAACTGGGAGTGGTACAACTTATGGTACAAAGATTTGAATGCTGGACTGTTACTCTGGAGACCAGGGATTGAACCCCCATCCAGCCATTGAAATCTCATTGGGTAACCTTGAGTGAGTCACATGCTCTCAGCCTCAGGGGAAAGCAAAGTTCTTTGAATAAATTTTGCCAAGAAAAGCTTTTATTAAGGTTCCATAAGTTAGAAATGACTTGAAGTAACACAAAACTTTGCGGTTATTGTTTATCAGTTACATCCACCCAGCCTTTTATGCATTTGTTTCAAGGCATGGCTTTTCTCCACATTATTCAAAGTGAGGGAGAGATTCTGGCCAAAGGTCACTCAGTGAGTTTCATGGCTTGGCAGACACTAGAATTTGAATATTCTGGCTTCTCGTCCAGCAGAGTAATCATTACCTTTCATTGGCTTCTGCTAGGATTCCTAAGTCCAGTTCTCAGTCTAGCAACTCCATTGGATCAATGGATTTGACACAAGGGTTTACAGCCCAGAGGGAATCACAATTTGATTTCACTTTCTGTGTTCTTTTGGACAATTTTTCTATCAGCAAGAGAGATGTGCCAATTCATGGGGAAGCGCTTTTGTTAAAAGACAAGAGGAGGTACAGTAAATACTGGCTGAGATACTAATGAGACTGTGGAGAAGTCAAAGGAAGTATCTCAGTGATGTTTCTCCTTCTGATTTACCACTAAGATTGTGTGATTCAAAAATTCCAAGGCAAGTTTTGACCTGGCCCCTTATGCCTAGGCTTTTAATGAGTGGGACAAGTTCAACACAAGATGTTTTGCTGTCTGAAGTGGGGAAGCAAATTGCCTCTGTCTCAAACCATAGCATCCAAAGCTGTTTTGTACAGATGGCAGAAAATGCCATTAGACTCTCCCACTTCCCACAATAACACTTTGGGCCCTTCCACACAGCCATATAACCCAGAATGTCAAGGCAGAAAATCCCACAATATCTGCTTTGAACTGCTCTGATATTCCAGGATATAGTGCTGTGTGGAAGGGCCCTGGGTTATCTGAGTCCACACTGCTATATGATTCCAGTTCTGTTTTGTGCTTATTGACAATTGGCTGTATTTTTATGAATTACAAAATCTGCTTCCCGAGTTTGCCACCTCCCTTAAGGTTGACCCTAATGTGTTCATGTGGTAGCAAGTTCAGGATACATAAATGCAGCGTGCCGTCAGAAATATGTGCCACTTCCAGTGTGTAAACGTTCCACTCTTGCCTGTGCTATGTAAATAGAGTGAGGGTTTCCAGGCTCCATCTGGTTCCAGTTACTCACTCACACACGCCAATACACATGCCTCAGGAATGTGCAGATGGACACTGTGCTGCTGTGCATAAAATCCATCCTAATGTTCATTGTGCTTTGTCACTTCCTCACCTCCAGAATGTACCTGTAGCTCTGATGAATTAATCCCTTCCTTCGACTTGAAGGAAACGCCAGGTACAAAAAACAACTGCTGACTAACAGTCACAGGCCTCGCTTTGTACTATCTGAGCTTAAGTTCATGACCAAAAATGGGTTTATTAAAAAAATCAGAAGAAAACACCCTTGACCACCAAGGACTGCCTCTTCCTGAAAGCCCCCGTTCACATAAATACAGGAAGTAGAAAGAAAGCAGCTAAAAGCAGACACATTTGGAAGTGTATCCTGACTTGGGAGCCTCTGGGCTTTTGGAAGCACGGCAATAAAAAAGCGTCCTGTCAAAGGCATCATCTGCCAAAAAAAAAAAGTGGGTCTGGAGAAGGCGTGGAAGTTTGGTCAGGCAATGCCAAGGTATATCTTGCTTCACAAGGGAGATTGTGAGTGATTTTGAAGAGAGAAGCAACTCACCAGCTTCTTGGCGGAGAGGATGAAAACATCGCTGGGGAACCAGGGAGCTGGGTGAGTCCTGAAACTTTGGAACAACTGGACTTTTTTCTCTCCAGTGAAAGCTTCTCTCTTTCCTTTCACCCCACCCAACCTTCATGCTGCCTGCTGGAGAAAGAATGCCTCTCTTCTGTCTGCCTTTCCCCCTTTGCACTCTTTCCTTTGTATTAGCTTGCTGGAAGACTTTGGGGAGGTATCAGCTGTGCAACTGCAGTAAAAGTGATTTACAGTCTTTCTGTGACCCAAGGCCACTGAATACCTGTTTCGAGCAATAGGTGTTTTATGGCAAGGGAGAAGTGTAGTTTGAACAGGAGGTGGGGGCAAGGAGGATAATTTTGCAGAAAATGCTCTTGCTACCATGTTGCATATCTGGAATTATAGCAGGGTTTTTCTGTGACTACTTTTTCCCATGTCAGGAGCAACTTGAGAAACTGCAAGTCACTTCTGGTGTGAGAGAATTGGCTGTCTGCAAGGACAGCCCTGAGGACACCCGGATGTTTGATGTTTACCATCCTTGTGGGAGGCTTCTCTCATGTCCCCACATGGAGAGTTGGAGCTGACAGAGAGAGCTCATCTGCACTCTCCCCAGATTCAAACCGCTGACCTGTTGGACATCAGTCCTGCTGACACAAGAGTTTAACCCATTGCACCACCAGGGGCTCCTCTGTGAATACTGACTGAAGAGGACCCCCTCCCCCAAATTCGACAGTTTGAATCTGGGGAGCAGGGTGAGCTCCTGCTATTAGCCCCAGTTTCTGCCAATCTAGCAGTGTGAAAACATACGAATGTGAGTAGATCAATAGGTACCGCTCTGGTAGGAAAGTAACGGTGCTCTAAGCAGTCATCCCAGCCATATGACCTTGGAGGTGTCTATGGACAATGCCGGCTCTTCAGCTTAGAAATGGAGATGAGCACCACCTCCTGGAGTCAGACACAACTAGACTTAATGTCAAGGGGAAACCTTTATCTTTACTTAATGACTAAAGATGGGTTTTGAGCTCTTCATCTAGGCCAGAAAGATGGAGCTTCTTGAGTTGCTGTGAATTTTCTGGGTTGTATAGCCATGTTCCAGAAGCATTCTCTCCTGACGTTTTGCCCACATCTATGGCAAGCATCCTCAGAGGTTGTGAGGTCTGTTGGAAACAAGGCAAGTGAGGTTTATATATCTGTGTAATCTCCAGGGTGGGAGAAAAAACACTCGTTTGTTTGAGGCAATTGACCAGCTTGATTAGCACTGAATAGCCTTGCAGCTTCAAAGCCTGGCTGCTTCCTGCCAGAGATGTGGGCGAAACATTAGGAGAGAATGGTTCTGGAACATGGCCATACAGCCCAGAAAGCTCACAGCAACTCAGGGCCCTTCCACACAGCCCTATATCCCAGAATATCAAGGCAGAAAATCCCACATTATCTGAGTGTGGACTTTGATAACCCAGTTCAAAACAGATACCGTGTTTCCAAAAACTCTTTAGCTATTGGGTTTTTTTCTTCATAGCATGTTGCTGTGAAGGACACACTTGCAGTAAACAAAAGGTTGTGGTTCCTGTCACGGCAGCGTGAGAGGGAAGAGGCAGCCTTTGAGGCACAGAACATAAGCATGCAACATTGTGGTCCATGGTGAAGACAGATAGAAGAAAGTTAGAAAGTTGCAGATAAAGTGTTTCTGTTTTTTATTGTTGTTGTTGTTATTGTTGCTGGGATTGCTCTACTATTATTTGAAGCTATGAGTGATATCGAGAGTACAGTCATCCCTCTCCATCTACACATTCCACCATCCCTGATTGATTCTTGTCTGGAATTCCCCAGAGAAGCCATTGAAATTCAATAAGCATGTGGACACTTTCAGCAGAAAGGAGGAAAGCATGAAAATGAACAAAATCTGTCTACCAATATTAAGAAAATCCTCTAAAATCAGGACAGTAAATAGAGAGCAACACTTAAAAAGGGAAATTCCAGACAACAAACAGTCAGGGCCAGCTAACACATCCCAACAAAGGACTCCCCAGGCAGCAACAGACCAGGCTTTGAAGCTACAAGGCCATTCAATGCTAATGAAGCTGGCCAATTGCAACATTCCCACTTGCCTCAAGCAGAGAGAGTTCTTTCTCCCACCTTGAACATTCCATATATATATAAACAGACCTAACACCTCTGAGAATGCCTGCCTTAGATGTGGGCGAAATGTCAGGAGAGAATGTATCTGGAACATGCCCATACAGCCCAGAAAACCCATAGCAACTCAGGGCCCTTCCATGCATCACTATATTCCAGAATATCAAGGCAGAAATTCCCACATTATCTGAGTGTGGACTTAGATAACCCAGTTCAAAGCAGATATTGTGGGATTTTCTGCCTTAATATTCTGAGATATAGGGCTGTGTGGAAGGGCCCCCCAGTGATTCTGGCCATGAAAGCTTTCAACTACACAAAAAGTAAACATTGATTTTGCCATTTTATATAAAGGATTCCATTTTGCTATGTTGTACATAATGGGGCTTGAGCGTCCACACATTTTACTATTTATGGGGGATTTTGGGACCAAATCTGACTGATATCAAGGCCCTACTGTATGCACTAAAATACATGTATGCATGTATATATTAAAAAGACCTTTAAGCAACCCTGTAACTGTATGGACAATGTAGGAAAATATGATAAAAACTTGAAGCTTGGAATGCTTTCTCTGTTTTATCTCCTTATTCCTTATTGCTGTAATGTTACACCATCATAACTTGCAACTGCGAGCCTTATAATTCAATTGTACTTTACAGTATCCTGTTTTAACATGATGCACAGCAGCTCAAAGATATGTATTAATCTCTGTTTCACACAGGATGGTTATTGCAATTATATAGCTCAGTGTTTTGTTAAGCCTCCTTCCTTCTGCCTTTGTACATATTTTAGATTACCGGTATATGCCTTGGCAAGACTAATTGTTTGTGGTTGTTTTACAAAAGCACCATGAGCATTTGACGGAGTTGTATCATCAACAACAATAGCATTTGGTATCATTTTAACTCCCTTGCCTGCATCCAACAAACTTGCAGATTCTCAAGTCACTACTGACACGATAAAAAAAAATCCAACAAACTCTTGCAATTTGTACTTTGGGAAGGCACTAGAGCTCTCTGGTAGAAAATGGTAAAGATTACAGGATCCCATAGGATTGTATTTAGGTAAAAGTTTCCTCTGACATTGTCTAGTCATGTCCGACTCTAGGGGATGGTGCTCATCTCCATTTCTAAGCCAAAGAGCTGGCATTGTCCATAGTCACCTCCAAGTTCATGTGGCCAGCACGACTGCCTGGAACGTCATTACCTTCCCACAGAAGCGGTACCTACGGTACACACATTTGCATGTTTTCGAACTGCTGGTTGGCAGAAGCTGGGGCTAACAGCAGGAGCTCACCCCTCTCCCCGGATTTGAACCACCAACCTTTCGGTCAGCAAGTTCAGCAGTTCAGTGGTTTAACTCGCTGCATCACTGGGGTTCCTAGGATTATATTTAAAAGGTACTAAAGTGCTCATTTTTGTAGCATGAATGAGATCCAATAACAAAGCAGCACCATTTCACATGCATTACATTTTCAAACTGTTTTGCCATAACGTTCACATATTGATGGGATTTGTCCCTCATCCTACAAGCTGATTGATGAACTTGCATGCAAAAAAAGTGTTCCTTAAAGAGGGAAAGCATAGCAGTTTAGTGGTAGAATGAGCAAAGCTGTCGTTTAATGCAGATGTGACAAACGTATTTGTGAGTATAGAAGAAATCTGAAGTTACACCAGGATGAAGAACCTGTAGTGAATGGTCTTAAAGAATCACATGCAACTTTTTGCTTCATGTGCATTCCTTTGTATTTCTGCAAGTTTCTGATCCAGTTAGTTTTCTTACTAACACATTCCACAGCTTGTTTTCTGTGCTGATTACAATTAATGCTTGAAGACATTGTCTTGTTTTTTGGACTACAGTTTTCAGCAGCCTCCCATGGCCATGTTAATTATGGGAGTTGTCCATATCATGGCAGCAAATACAGGGAGCCACTGTATATTTTCATGCAGTTGTAGTATATTTTCAAAAGTTTTTTTTAATTCCAACATTTATAATTTTGGAGAAAGAGTTCTCAATCCTTTCTTTTGTGCATTGAAGTTTTTTTCTGATTTATAGTAACTCTCAGGTAAATATATTGCAAAGTATGGTTGTTCTTATCTTCCCCTGAGGCTGAGAGAGAGAGTGACCTGCTGAAGTGTGACTCAGGCACCTTCTACATTGCTATATAATCCAGTTCAAAGCAGATAATCTGGATTTTATATAGCAGTATAGAAGGGGGCTCAGTGTGTTTCCTTGACTGAAGAGTTATTCAAACCCTGGTCTCCTAGACCAACACTCAGTCAAACTATGCTGCTTTCAAAATGTGCACTGTGACATTTTGCAAATTCAATGTGCTGGCTTTGGCCTATAAAGCCCTAAACGGTCCCAGCCCAGTTTACCTGTCTGAACACATCTCCCTTTATGAACCACTGCGAAAACTAAGATCTTCTAGGGAGGCCCTGCTCTTGGTCCTGCCAACATCACAGGTACATTTGTGACAGGGCCTTCTTAGTGATTGCCCCCAGTTATGGAACTCTGCTCCCTTCTGCTCCCTCCTGTCCTTCAAAAGGATGGCAAAGACCTGGCTGTGGGACCAAGCCTTTGGGGCAGTGCAATGATGCAAAATGGTGTCCTGAGATGGATTTTAAGCAACTGATTTTAAAGTGGATATAAATGATTTTAATGTTCATAGATATTTATGTTTTTATATCCCAGCATTGAATGTTTGCCATATATATGTTGTGCACTGCCCCGAGTCCCCTGCGGGGTGAGAAGGGCATAATATAAATGTTTTAAATAAATAAATAATAATATCCTTTCTCTCTCAGTAGTAAACATTTTTGTTGGTAATGCACCCCCCCCCCCCAATCTCTAAATAATGGATGGAGGTTAAAGGAAAAATGAGGGGATATTGGAGGTGGAAGTGA